GAAATCAGACAAAGAATATATTAGTTTTAGCATTTTATAGTATTGGTTGGTGATCTCTTTTTGATAATGTTCAAAGTAGTGATACCAATGAAGTTTGCCTAGTAATTCTATCCGAGCTTTCACTTATTAAAATCTTAAAATTTTTCTGTAAATACATAATATCAAGAATAATTATGATAAGTTACGATCAAACATTATATTATGTTGATACTACACAGCTAATGTGATCACACTATTAAAATATTAATTAGACTTGACATCAATTAATTATTAGATGTGAACATAGTATATTAAATGACAAGTTAAATATACGATATAACTAAAAATGACATATTGGTATTAAAAAATTGCGTAATAATGATATTTTGTCATATATATATATTATTTCTCAATTTTGATATTACTTTATTTCTTAGAAAATTTATCCATGATTGAAACCGTAGATAACAAAGACGAAATAATAAAAAATTCGATTAATTTTATTTGAAAAGCAACAAGTGGAAAAGCTGCATCATTAATCTTTGATAATGATCCCTTATTCTCAGCCACCCTGACTCTCAATGATAGAACATCTAATACAATACACTTGGATGCACCAAGTGTGGTAATTATTAACAGAGAAAACTTTCTAAAGATCGCAGACCTTGCCAAAGTAAATGAAAGTTATCAAACGATAATTGATGTTGATGACCACGAAGTAAGCAATATATGAGGGTGTCAGTAGACATCAGGCAAACTGTTTTTTAGTGAGTTTTTTTCAAACTTTAAAATAAAATAAAAATTATCAAGTTTGATTTAATAGTCATTGAGATATTTTAATTTAAAGTTTGAAAAAAATTTAGAAACAATTTGCCTGGTTCCTGCTGGCACCCAGTTATTTTCATTATTTAGAAAAATACTAAATAATGAAAATTTATAGGCTATTCAAGCTGACAATACTAATCTTGATAGACAACCTAGTGATATATCATTAGATTTTGTAAATATGGATATTCAAGGAAGTAATGCACAAGATATGGAATTGAGTTTTGATGAAGATGCTATGGTAGATGGTCAGGGAGCAAAAATATCACGAATCAATGATAATTCAATTGAAAATGATTATTCTGTGTCACAACCTCTTGAAAAGAGCGAGATTATTCAAAAAAATAAAGATAAAGCACAAGATTTAAATTCGAATAATCAGGTAATTACTTTAACTATCTTGATTAAATCTGGAATAAATAAAATAATAATTTAACAAATCCATAAAGGAACAAGTCGAATTTTCAGATAAAAATGATGACACTGATGAGGAGATGGGTGGAATTGATGCTTTAGCTTTGTCATGTAAAAAAAGTAAAGAAATCAGTTCAGCAAAAGATAGCACAAAGTCTCATGTTAACACCACAAAACATAGTGATATTGAAAATGAAAGAACTTCTATAATTAATGAGGAGGTAAGAAA